TATCACTTATATAATTCAGCGCTTGCGAATTTTAAATGGAATTTTTAAAAAAAAATTTAGTCTAAAAAAATAAAACGTTTGTAAAAACAAATAAAAGAAATAGGCCTTTATTTTAGATGTAATAGAACTAAACAGCTGATTGGAGTTCATCCCCTTAGAAGATGCAGTCTTTTCCATGAATATGTTAATAGCGCTGTTGGCGTATCACTTATATAATTCAGCGCTTGCGAATTTTAAATGGAATTTTTTAAAAAAAAATTAGTCTAAAAAAATAAAACGTTTGTAAAAACAAATAAAAGAAATAGGCCTTTATTTTAGATGTAATAGAACTAAACAGCTGATTGGAGTTCATCCCCTTAGAAGATGCAGTCTTTTCCATGAATATGTTAATAGCGCTGTTGGCGTATCACTTATATAATTCAGCGCTTGCGAATTTTAAATGGAATTTTTAAAAAAAAATTTAGTCTAAAAAAATAAAACGATTGTAAAAACAAATAAAAGAAATAGGCCTTTATTTTAGATGTAATAGAACTAAACAGCTGATTGGAGTTCATCCCCTTAGAAGATGCAGTCTTTTCCATGAATATGTTAATAGCGCTGTTGGCGTATCACTTATATAATTCAGCGCTTGCGAATTTTAAATAGAATTTTTTAAAAAAAATTTAGTCTAAAAAAATAAAACGTTTGTAAAAACAATTAAAGAAATAGGCCTTTATTTTAGATGTAATAGAACTAAACAGCTGATTGGAGTTCATCCCCTTAGAAGATGCAGTCTTTTCCATGAATATGTTAATAGCGCTGTTGGCGTATCACTTATATAATTCAGCGCTTGCGAATTTTAAATGGAATTTTTAAAAAAAAATTTAGTCTAAAAAAATAAAACGTTTGTAAAAACAAATAAAAGAAATAGGCCTTTATTTTAGATGTAATAGAACTAAACAGCTGATTGGAGTTCATCCCCTTAGAAGATGCAGTCTTTTCCATGAATATGTTAATAGCGCTGTTGGCGTATCACTTATATAATTCAGCGCTTGCGAATTTTAAATGGAATTTTTAAAAAAAAATTTAGTCTAAAAAAATAAAACGTTTGTAAAAACAAATAAAAGAAATAGGCCTTTATTTTAGATGTAATAGAACTAAACAGCTGATTGGAGTTCATCCCCTTAGAAGATGCAGTCTTTTCCATGAATATGTTAATAGCGCTGTTGGCGTATCACTTATATAATTCAGCGCTTGCGAATTTTAAATGGAATTTTTAAAAAAAAATTTAGTCTAAAAAAATAAAACGTTTGTAAAAACAAATAAAAGAAATAGGCCTTTATTTTAGATGTAATAGAACTAAACAGCTGATTGGAGTTCATCCCCTTAGAAGATGCAGTCTTTTCCATGAATATGTTAATAGCGCTGTTGGCGTATCACTTATATAATTCAGCGCTTGCGAATTTTAAATAGAATTTTTTTTAAAAAATTTAGTCTAAAAAAATAAAACGTTTGTAAAAACAATTAAAGAAATAGGCCTTTATTTTAGATGTAATAGAACTAAACAGCTGATTGGAGTTCATCCCCTTAGAAGATGCAGTCTTTTCCATGAATATGTTAATAGCGCTGTTGGCGTATCACTTATATAATTCAGCGCTTGCGAATTTTAAATGGAATTTTTAAAAAAAAATTTAGTCTAAAAAAATAAAACGTTTGTAAAAACAAATAAAAGAAATAGGCCTTTATTTTAGATGTAATAGAACTAAACAGCTGATTGGAGTTCATCCCCTTAGAAGATGCAGTCTTTTCCATGAATATGTTAATAGCGCTGTTGGCGTATCACTTATATAATTCAGCGCTTGCGAATTTTAAATGGAATTTTTAAAAAAAAATTTAGTCTAAAAAAATAAAACGTTTGTAAAAACAAATAAAAGAAATAGGCCTTTATTTTAGATGTAATAGAACTAAACAGCTGATTGGAGTTCATCCCCTTAGAAGATGCAGTCTTTTCCATGAATATGTTAATAGCGCTGTTGGCGTATCACTTATATAATTCAGCGCTTGCGAATTTTAAATGGAATTTTTAAAAAAAAAATTAGTCTAAAAAAATAAAACGTTTGTAAAAACAAATAAAAGAAATAGGCCTTTATTTTAGATGTAATAGAACTAAACAGCTGATTGGAGTTCATCCCCTTAGAAGATGCAGTCTTTTCCATGAATATGTTAATAGCGCTGTTGGCGTATCACTTATATAATTCAGCGCTTGCGAATTTTAAATGGAATTTTTAAAAAAAAATTTAGTCTAAAAAAATAAAACGTTTGTAAAAACAAATAAAAGAAATAGGCCTTTATTTTAGATGTAATAGAACTAAACAGCTGATTGGAGTTCATCCCCTTAGAAGATGCAGTCTTTTCCATGAATATGTTAATAGCGCTGTTGGCGTATCACTTATATAATTCAGCGCTTGCGAATTTTAAATGGAATTTTTAAAAAAAAATTTAGTCTAAAAAAATAAAACGTTTGTAAAAACAAATAAAAGAAATAGGCCTTTATTTTAGATGTAATAGAACTAAACAGCTGATTGGAGTTCATCCCCTTAGAAGATGCAGTCTTTTCCATGAATATGTTAATAGCGCTGTTGGCGTATCACTTATATAATTCAGCGCTTGCGAATTTTAAATGGAATTTTTAAAAAAAAATTTAGTCTAAAAAAATAAAACGTTTGTAAAAACAAATAAAAGAAATAGGCCTTTATTTTAGATGTAATAGAACTAAACAGCTGATTGGAGTTCATCCCCTTAGAAGATGCAGTCTTTTCCATGAATATGTTAATAGCGCTGTTGGCGTATCACTTATATAATTCAGCGCTTGCGAATTTTAAATGGAATTTTTTAAAAAAAAATTAGTCTAAAAAAATAAAACGTTTGTAAAAACAAATAAAAGAAATAGGCCTTTATTTTAGATGTAATAGAACTAAACAGCTGATTGGAGTTCATCCCCTTAGAAGATGCAGTCTTTTCCATGAATATGTTAATAGCGCTGTTGGCGTATCACTTATATAATTCAGCGCTTGCGAATTTTAAATGGAATTTTTAAAAAAAAATTTAGTCTAAAAAAATAAAACGATTGTAAAAACAAATAAAAGAAATAGGCCTTTATTTTAGATGTAATAGAACTAAACAGCTGATTGGAGTTCATCCCCTTAGAAGATGCAGTCTTTTCCATGAATATGTTAATAGCGCTGTTGGCGTATCACTTATATAATTCAGCGCTTGCGAATTTTAAATAGAATTTTTTAAAAAAAATTTAGTCTAAAAAAATAAAACGTTTGTAAAAACAATTAAAGAAATAGGCCTTTATTTTAGATGTAATAGAACTAAACAGCTGATTGGAGTTCATCCCCTTAGAAGATGCAGTCTTTTCCATGAATATGTTAATAGCGCTGTTGGCGTATCACTTATATAATTCAGCGCTTGCGAATTTTAAATGGAATTTTTAAAAAAAAATTTAGTCTAAAAAAATAAAACGTTTGTAAAAACAAATAAAAGAAATAGGCCTTTATTTTAGATGTAATAGAACTAAACAGCTGATTGGAGTTCATCCCCTTAGAAGATGCAGTCTTTTCCATGAATATGTTAATAGCGCTGTTGGCGTATCACTTATATAATTCAGCGCTTGCGAATTTTAAATGGAATTTTTAAAAAAAAATTTAGTCTAAAAAAATAAAACGTTTGTAAAAACAAATAAAAGAAATAGGCCTTTATTTTAGATGTAATAGAACTAAACAGCTGATTGGAGTTCATCCCCTTAGAAGATGCAGTCTTTTCCATGAATATGTTAATAGCGCTGTTGGCGTATCACTTATATAATTCAGCGCTTGCGAATTTTAAATGGAATTTTTAAAAAAAAATTTAGTCTAAAAAAATAAAACGTTTGTAAAAACAAATAAAAGAAATAGGCCTTTATTTTAGATGTAATAGAACTAAACAGCTGATTGGAGTTCATCCCCTTAGAAGATGCAGTCTTTTCCATGAATATGTTAATAGCGCTGTTGGCGTATCACTTATATAATTCAGCGCTTGCGAATTTTAAATGGAATTTTTAAAAAAAAATTTAGTCTAAAAAAATAAAACGTTTGTAAAAACAAATAAAAGAAATAGGCCTTTATTTTAGATGTAATAGAACTAAACAGCTGATTGGAGTTCATCCCCTTAGAAGATGCAGTCTTTTCCATGAATATGTTAATAGCGCTGTTGGCGTATCACTTATATAATTCAGCGCTTGCGAATTTTAAATGGAATTTTTAAAAAAAAATTTAGTCTAAAAAAATAAAACGTTTGTAAAAACAATTAAAGAAATAGGCCTTTATTTTAGATGTAATAGAACTAAACAGCTGATTGGAGTTCATCCCCTTAGAAGATGCAGTCTTTTCCATGAATATGTTAATAGCGCTGTTGGCGTATCACTTATATAATTCAGCGCTTGCGAATTTTGAATAGAATTTTTTAAAAAAAATTTAGTCTAAAAAAATAAAACGTTTGTAAAAACAATTAAAGAAATAGGCCTTTATTTTAGATGTAATAGAACTAAACAGCTGATTGGAGTTCATCCCCTTAGAAGATGCAGTCTTTTCCATGAATATGTTAATAGCGCTGTTGGCGTATCACTTATATAATTCAGCGCTTGCGAATTTTAAATAGAATTTTTAAAAAAAAATTTAGTCTAAAAAAATAAAACGTTTGTAAAAACAATTAAAGAAATAGGCCTTTATTTTAGATGTAATAGAACTAAACAGCTGATTGGAGTTCATCCCCTTAGAAGATGCAGTCTTTTCCATGAATATGTTAATAGCGCTGTTGGCGTATCACTTATATAATTCAGCGCTTGCCAATTTTAAATAGAATTTTTAAAAAAAAATTTAGTCTAAAAAAATAAAACGTTTGTAAAAACAATTAAAGAAATAGGCCTTTATTTTAGATGTAATAGAACTAAACAGCTGATTGGAGTTCATCCCCTTAGAAGATGCAGTCTTTTCCATGAATATGTTAATAGCGCTGTTGGCGTATCACTTATATAATTCAGCGCTTGCGAATTTTAAATAGAATTTTTAAAAAAAAATTTAGTCTAAAAAAATAAAACGTTTGTAAAAACAATTAAAGAAATAGGCCTTTATGTTATTACCGGGAAATTAAGCAGAATGGGGAAAAAAAAGTTTAAGTCCCACAAAAGCGCCTATCATTATCATCAGGAACACCAGTAAAGCAATGAATGCTTTCAGACACCAGCCAGAGCCTGAAAAATAAGGGATCTATTATTAGTATACGATTGTCTGGAAATTTTAGAACATATAATGATTTAGCGAAACAATTATTAATTAATTCCATCTGTCTATTATTCGACTTTACTCATAAAGGTTTTGAGTTGAAAGTTAGGTATGAGATATTTATAGATTAAAAAGATAGATTAGATAGGATGGGTGGATGGATGGATAAATAGATTAGATAGTATGGGTGGATGGATGGATGGATAGATTGGATAGGATGGATAGGATGGAAGGATGGGTGGGTGGATAGGATGGGTGGGTGGATGGATGGATAGGATGGAAGGATGGTTGTATGTGTGTGTGTGTGTGTCTGTGTGTATGTGTGTATGTGTGTATGTGTGTATGTGTGTATGTGTTTATGTGTGTATGTGTGTATATTCGTATGTGTGTATGTGTGTATGTGTGTATGTCTGTGTGTGTATGTGTGTATGTGTATGTATGTGTGTGTATGCGTGCGTGCGTGCATGTGTGTATGTATGTATGTATGTATGTATGTGTGGGTGTGTGGGTGGGTGTGTAGGTGTGTGGGTGTGTGTGGGTGTGTATGGGTAAGTGGGTGGGTGGAATGATGGATGGATGGATGGATGGATGGATGGATAAATGGGTGGGTGGGTGGGTGGGTGGGTGGGTGGGTGGGTGCATGGGTGGGTGCATGGCTGGGTGCATGGCTGGATGGATGGCTGGATGGCTGGATGACTGGATGGATGGATGGATGGATGGATGGATGGATGGATGGATGGATGGATGGATGGATGGATGGATGGATGGATGGATGGATGGATGGATGGATGGATGGATGGATGGATGGATGGATGGATGGATGGATGGATGGATGGATGGATGGATGGATGGATGGATGGATGGATGGATGGATGGATGGATGGATGGATGGATGGATGGATGGATGGATGGATGGATGGTTGGGTGGGTGAAAAGGTGGGTGGGTGAAAAGGTGGGTGGGTGGGTGGATGGATGGGTTTGGGTGGGTGGGTGGATGGATGGGTTTGGGTGGGTGGGTGTATGTATAAATGAATAAATGGATAGACGGATGGAATGAAAGATAGATGAATAGATGGAGAGTTGGATAGACAGAAGTACTAGTGTGAAATATATTTACTCTCAGTCGTGGTGGGCTTCTGGGTAACCACCGTGGGTGACGTCACACTTCCGGGAGGTGAAGTACTGGCGGGTGTCAACACCGTGGGACTCGTCACACTTCCGGTAGGTGAAGTACTGGCGGGTGTCAACATCGTGGGACTCGTCACACTTCCGGTAGGTGAAGTACTGGCGGGTGTCAACACCGTGGGACTCGTCACACTTCCGGTAGGTGAAGTACTGGCGGGTGTCAACACCGTGGGACTCGTCACACTTCCGGTAGGTGAAGTACTGGCGGGTGTCAACACCGTGAGAGTCGTCATGTTTCCGGGAGGCTTGGAAGTTGCTGGCCTGGTCGGGTAGGGATTAGGAGGCCCTTCCTCTGCCGAAACCGACTGGGAGACTGGTGAGAAAAAATGAGGGTCTGCCGGTCGAGTTGCAAATTTAAAAAAAACCAAGATTTTAAACTCCTAATTGATGACGAGAGCAAGTGAGTTATTCAAATGATCTCTACTTCAATGTAACCTTTAATAGTTTAATTAAAAGATAAATAAAGTGACTTAATTTAATCTCTAGTAGCGCCAGGGCTAAATAGTTGACATTATATCTGACCATAGATGTAGGTCCATACAGCTGACCATAAGTATGTATATGTGACAATGGATGTACAGCGATATATCTTTCCTTTGATGTAGGACAATATAGCTGACCGTAGTTATCGACGATATAACTGACCAGGGATGTATGGCCACATAATTGACCATAAATATAGTGTCATCTAACTAACCATATAATTTAGGCTATATAGTTGGTATAATGGAGTCATATCGATGACGTAAAAAATTTGAACCGTATAACTGACCATAGATGAAAACATAATTAGGGCCATATAGCTGACCATAGATGAAAACAGAATTAGGGCCATATAGTTGGCCATAGATGAAAACAGAATTAGGGCCATATAGTTGACCATAGATGAAAACAGAATTAGGGACATATAGTTTGCCATAGATGAAATCAGAATTAGGGCCATATAGTTGGCCACAGATGAAAGCAGAATTAGGGCCATATAGCTGACCATAGATGAAAACAGAATTAGGGCCATATAGTTGGCCACAGAAGAAAACAGAATTAGGGCCTTATAGTTGGCTACAGATGAAAACAGAATAAGGGCCATATAACTGACCACAGAAGAAAACAGAATTAGGGCCATATAGTTGAACACGCAATCACTGACACATAGTTGACCTAACAATAAGGTCCAATTAATTTAAGAAAAATATGGAATACTTACCGAACAGCGCAAGTACAAGTACACACCCTAACATTTTACATTTGGCCATGTTTAATGTGTATCTTGGAACACGAAGGCACAGAGTGGCTCACTGCACGAATTTCACAAGGTGAATAGCAACACACGAACTGGGGCTTGTCGCTGAGATTTATACCTCTTTGGGTGCTCTCGTGTCCTGTTTGTTGTTGACAACTCGTTGTCATTGACAACAAGACTTTTTGTTTTCGCTATTGTTTGAGACAGAGGTAAGTGCGTGCGGGTTTGGAGAAAAAATAATTTAGGTTTAATTTATTACCTTATTGTTGTTGCCTGTACGCGAGGGTAAAAAGGGGGGAAATGGGGAGGTGAATAACCAATTTTTAATACATTTTTTTCCTATGGTTAAAAGGTATATTGATAAGCTACTTTCTCCGACGAAAGGTCAGTTACTTGGTCTCACTAATGGTCAGTTATTTGGTCCATTTAATGGTCATCTACTTGGTCCTACTAATGGTCAGTTACTTGGTCCTACTAATGGTCAGTTACTTGGTCTAATTAATGGTCAGTTACTTGGTCCTACTAATGGTCAGTTTATTGGTCCTACTAATGGTCAGTTACTTGGTCCTACTAATGGTCAGTTACTTGGTCTAACTAATGGTCAGTTACTTGGTCCTACTAATGGTCAGTTACTTGGTCCTACTAATGGTCAGTTACTTGGTCCTACTAATGGTCAGTTACTTGGTCCTACTAATGGTCAGTTACTTGGTCTAACTAATGGTCAGTTACTTGGTCCTACTAGTGGTCAGTTACTTGGTCCTACTAATAGTCAGTTTATTGGTCCTACTAATGGTCAGTTACTTGGTCCTACTAATAGTTAGTTACTTAGTCTAACTAATGGTCAGTTACTTGGTCCTACTAATCGTCAGTTTATTGGTCCTACTAATGGTCAGTTACTTGGTCCTACTAATAGTTAGTTACTTAGTCTAACTAATGGTCAGTTACTTGGTCCTACTAATTGTCAGTTTATTGGTCCTACTAATGGTCAGTTACTTGGTCCTACTAATGGTCAGTTACTTGGTCCTACTAATGGTCATCTACTTGGTACTACTAATGGTCATCTACTTGGTTCTATTAATGGTCAGTTACTTGGTCCTACTAATGGTCAATTACTTGGTTCTACTAATGGTCAGTTACTTGGTCCTACTAATGGTCAGTTACTTGGTCCTACTAATGGTCAGTTACTTGGTTCTACTAATGGTAATCTACTTGGTCCTACTAATGGTCAGTTACTTGGTCCTACTAATGGTCAGTTACTTGGTCCTACTAATGGTCAGTTACTTGGTCCTACTAATGGTCAGTTACTTGGTCCTACTAATGGTAATCTACTTGGTCCTACTAATGGTCAGTTACTTGGTCCTACTAGTGGTCAGTTACTTGGTCCAACTAATGGTCAGTTACTTGGTTTTTCTAATGGTCAGTTACTTGGTCTAACTAATGGTCAGTTACGTGGTCCTACTAATGGTCAGTTTATTGGTCCTACTAATGGTCAGTTACTTGGTCTAACTGATGGTCAGCTGTTTGGTCCTACTAATGGTCGGTTACTTTCAGTAGCGCAGTGAGGGGGGGGGCGGGGGGAGGGACATATGTCCCCGGGCGCCGAGCTTAGGGGGCGCCAAAATGGGTTGGAAAAATAAATTGAAAGATTGAGGGGGTGCAAATCGAAAGTTTGAGGGGGGGAGGGTTGCAAATCAAAATCTCGAGGGGGGTGCAAATCGAAAGTTTGAGGGGGGGGTGGAAATCGAAATCTCGAGGGGGGGGGGTGCAAATCGAAAAGTTTGTCCCCGGGCGCCGGGAAGGGTCGCTACTAATGGTCAGTTACTTGGTCCTACTAATGGTCAGTTACTTGGTCCTACTAATGGTCAGTTACTTGGTTCTACTAATGGTCAGTTATTTTGTCCTACTAATGGTAATCTACTTGGTCCTACTAATGGTCAGTTACTTGGTCCTACTAATGGTCAGTTACTTAGTCTAACTTATGGTCAGTTACTTGGTCCTACTAATGGTCAGTAGAGTTCTCCTGTTTCTGAGATCTCGGCATAGGAGGTGATAATGTAGAAATTTTCAGTTAGTAGTTAGAAAAAAAAGTGTTAGAGAGGTTGGGTAACTCTCCTCCATACCTGATACATACCTCAAAGACGTCCAAGATCTATTGTTAAAAAAGTCTATTTCCAGAACGTTGACACCAAAGAAGAGGGAAGTGCTTACTCCGGTTAACGGTAGGCTTTATTATCCTGTCTACTGTCAATTTCAAATTTTATTGCAACGGTTAAAACGTTTTTACACATACCTGCATTCTAGTTTTTTTTTTTTGTTTTTTTTTTTAAATCAAATAATTGTTTGGCAGAAATCGTGGAGGAAAAAAAAAGGCAAATTAATTTTAGAGCAGGTCATCCTGTTCTTGTCAACACACATTGGATCCTCGGTTAATGTAAGGCACTGTACTAGTTTATTAGCTTTTTAATCCCGCAGATATCAATGATATAGTCACGATCCAGGTAACTGTCATTCATGACTAGGGTTTAAGGGTTGGGAACATATATATATATATATATATATATATATGTGTGTGTGTGTGTGTGTGTGTGTGTGTGTGTGTGTGTGTGTGTGTGTGTGTGTGTGTGTGTGTGTGTGTGTGTGTGTGTGTGTGTGTGTACTCGCAACCCCTTATACATATAGGCCTATCCATGGAGTTGACAACCACACTTTAATTTTAGAGTTCATCATCATCTTTCCTTTTTGGCCCCTGGGGAGCAAAGGGCTGCAACTACACATTTCCAGCGGACTCGGTTTTGTGCTGCTACCCATGTGAACCCAGCTGTCTTGGCCTCTTCCTTAACCGTTCTTTTCCATGTTTTGTTTGGCCGGCCCACTTTCCTTTTTCCCTGGGGATTCCAGTCCATATGTAAGCCCTGCTAGGGAGGGGATACCTAAAATCTACTCTACCCGTCCCTAGGCTTATCTAACTACTGTCCGGTCAGTGCAAGTCCGGCTAAACCCAGACTGGTTAATACCTTAACCTTAGTCTAAATTTAAAAAACAATAAAATTTTAACAATTAATTAAATTTATTGCATGGAACCAATCAAATAAAATCAGATAAAATGGATAGATAGAAATATTACTGACACACAACCGAACAATTTACACACAATCAAACAGAAAACAAAACAGAATGTAACAAAACAATTTATATACAACAAAACATTACGTTCGACCATTTGATGGTGTTGCACCGACTTATGATGTCTAGGATGGTCCAGGCCCTGACACACAGAAACCTCTCTTCATCCATTCTCGACATCCAAAAGTCCACACCAAACAAAACACTACGTACAACCACTACGTACAATACATTACGTAGAAAACATTACGTACAAAACAATATAGGCTATACAAAACAAACTTTTTACACCAAACAAAACACCCAGCCAAGATGCCCAAGCAACCTCATTGCACGAAACAGCACACACATTAATTTTAAACAACCTAAAACTCGAGGCAACTAAAATATAGGCCTACTCATTACTGTCTAAAACAACCAACGATTGACTAAGCCAATCCTAGTCATCCTGCGGAACCCTCAATAACAACACATCATAATAAAGTAAAACAATCAAGTAAATGCACACACGCATTCGCACCAGTTTGGGAAACACTGACCTAAACCACGTGGTCTAAAACACACGCCAAGGGTTTAGAAAATACAAAAATACATTTCAAATCTTTCGAAAAGAACACACCACGTGTATACCAGACATGCCGATCTACATTTCGCCTCGGGTCAAAAAGAAAGAAATTATCCGAGCGGTCAGTTTTTATACTGACCTCTTCGGGCGGAAGGGGAAACCCCGTAGCCGTTGTCCAGTGGACCATTCACGCACAGATTCGCACACAATAAGATAATAAAAAATAAATAATCCATTCACCCGCTTTCATAAGTGCCCGACATTTCGCTCGCCCGTTTTAATCCATGACGACAAAAGCACGACAGACAGACAGACAGAGGGAAGTAAGTTAAATATTTTCTTATTGTCAGTGTATTTAGAAGATTGCTATTAGAAATATTTTCTTATTGTCAGTGTATTTAGAAGATTGCTATTAGAAATGTTTTTATATTTGTTTTATATTTTATATCATCAGCAAACAGTTATATCTGATCATTATTGGTAATTAGGTGAAGTACTGGGTCAGCTTGACATTTGAGGTCATTTTTAAATAAACTTAATGATATCTAGCACGAATAACAATATGTCGACACCACTTCGATGTAAATAAAGTTTTAAAAGAACGTAAATAGAAAAAAAAATTGGGTTGGGAAATATGCCGCTATAAAATGAAGCAAACAGAGCAGCTATTCGATTTTTTTAAATGGAGTTTTCTTGAAGTGAATACATTCTTCTAAATTTAGATCGAGATCCTGTTTCGTTGCGTCTCGCCTAACTTGCTGGGGTTGCAAAAAGAACAAAAGACATTTTTAAAAACCTTACCTAATAAATTGAGTTTTATCGCTTTGTGAATGTTGACCCGCAACGCTGTGAGAAGGGCAAGGGGCTTCGGGGGGGGGGGGGGGGGGAGATCCAGTGTGTGAAGACGCGAATTGATTAAGGTATGCGACAGTGTCACCTTTAAGGGTAAATCAGGCTGGCACAATTTAATGTTTTACAACGACATGTAAATAGGCATAAAAATCGGGGGGGGGGGGGGGGTGGAGGGAGGATGGGATTCTAATGCGTCAATTTTTAACTAGAGCACGACACGTGCAAAGGGATTAATCGGTAACAGAAAAGTGGTGCCTTACGACACGACGTGAACTCCACTTCACCTGCCCCGTGATCGTCAGGTAGCAAAGGGTACTTTACTCATAGTACACCTGGTTTCGTACCGTCGGCAACATATCCAAAATATATTCTATATCGGTGAGTACACCGGGAGGTGTGGAGATGTCCAAGGGTTAATTGATCATGTTGATCATGTTGATCATGTTGGTAATGTTGATCATGTTGATCATGTTGATCATGTTGATCATGTTGATCATGTTGATCATGTTGATCATGTTGATCATGTTGATCATGTTGATCATCTTGGTAATGTTGATCATGTTGATCACCTTGGTAATGTTGATCATGTTGATCA